AAAAGGTTTATATGGAGCAACCACCTGGGTTTGTTGCTCAGGGGGAGTATTGTCACACTGTTTGTCGCTTTAAAAAGGCCCTGTATGGATTGAAACAATCTCCATAGGCTTGGTTTGGAAAATTCTCTGAGGCGGCATTAGAATTTGGTCTTAACAGATGCCAGACAGATCATTCGGTATTTCACCTGCGCACTAAAGCTGGCTTCATTTTTCTTGTGGTGTATGTAGATGATATTGTGATCACAGGTGATGATTCTGCAGGCATTGCTAAGTTGAAGTTGTTTCTGCAAAATCGATTCCACACTAAAGACTTGGGTAAACTTAGGTACTTCTTGGGTATTGAAGTTGCTAGATCCAAGGAAGGTATAAGTTTAACTCAACGAAAATATGTGTTGGACTTGCTAGAAGAAACGAGTATGTTAGGTGGTCGTTCGGTTGATGCTCCTATGGATTCAAATACAAAACTTGTATCTTATGAGGGTGATCTATTTAATGACCCAGGCAGATTTCGTCGCCATGTTGGGAAATTAATTTATCTCACTATCACTCGACCTGATATTTCATATGCAATTCGTGTTGGAAGTCAGTTCATGGGAGCTCCTAGAATGCCACATTGGATTGTTGTTCTTTGAATTATCCGATATCCCAAGCAAGCTCCAGGTTTTAGGTTAATATACAAATCAAATGGTCATCTCAGGGTGGAAGGTTTTACAGATGCTGACTGGGCTGGTTCTCCTTCAGATAGGAGATCTACTACAGGCTACTGTACATTTGTAGGAGGAAATCTTGTTACGTGGAAAAGTAAAAAGCAAACGGTGGTAGCTCGATCTAGTGCTGAAGCTGAGTACAGGGCAATGGCCCATACCACTAGTGAGTTGGCATGGATACAACATTTTCTAAAAGAACTTGGGTTAACAGTTGAAGCTCCTACTCCATTGTTTTGTGATAACCAAGCAGCTATTCACATTGCATCGAATCTTGTGTTTCATGAGAGGACCAAACATATTGAGGTTGATTGTCACTTTGTTCGGGAAAAACTATTAAATGGGAGCATCTCTACTCCATTTGTGAAATCTGAAGATCAACTAGCTGATATGTTTACCAAAGCACTGGGTCATAACCGGTTAAGGACTATCTATTCCAAGCTGGGATTATTTGATATATATTCTCCAGCTTAAGGAGGAGTGTTAGAATGTTTATATCCTCCATAATATTGGGTCCTTATGTAATTACCCATAGTAGTTTGGCTTATTGTGTAATTAAGCCATATTGTGTAATTAGGGTGTATAACCCTTGTTCTTTATATAAGCCTCACAAGAGAAGGCTGAATACAATACACAGAATATACATTTCTCTCTCTCTCTCTCTATCTCTCATGAATTTGAACAATCCCATTATGTGTTGTGTGGCTCAAGAGAGTCCAAAGTTAACGCTTTAGGCGACTTCTACTGAGCCTCCATGCTCACCCCTTCCTTTATTACTTTTTCATGTCATGGCAAGAACTTGGTTGATGACGGGCCTTCACAAGTGTAGTTAATGTCGTTAGAATCATTTTTTGTAAACTATTGTAACTGATGTTATAATTGTAAAGTTTTTAGGTATAGGCACGTACATTTTTGTAATCATTTCCACGGGAAAGTAAATTTATTGTTTTAGCAATGTAATCTATTGACTAGTGATTATTTTAAGCATGCATGATGATGGTCGTCTTTAAAAGATTGTTCAATAAAGATTATTATTTGGTTGATAATGGAATTTCAATTAAAAAGGGGCGATTTTCATCAAATGACATGTTTTCAAGTATATAACGTTTTTCTCACTTTATACAAGTTTTGGGGTCGATTTAAAGTCATTTTCAATGTCACAAGTAAGCCAAAAGGGATGCCAAGTGCCAAAGGCACTTAAAGGAACCAAAATCACAAAACTGGGCAGAACCAGTCGATGTGTAGGCATTTCACGTCGACCGATATCTCATTTATTTTGGGCAGAGGGCATTTTTATTGTTTTGAGCCAAACCGGTCGACGTAAAGGGAGTCACGTCGACCGATTTCCATGAAGTAGTCGACGTGCGGTCAGCACATGTCGACCGACTTCCATGAATAGGTTGATGTGTGGTCTGCACACATTGACCGATTCCTATTGTTTCTTCTCTTTTTTTCCCATTTTGTCCAATCTCGGATTATCTAATGATGTCAACGTGCACTACAAAGACTAGTATGATTTATTAATTACATTAAGATCATGAGAATGACCTTAGTGCCCTTGGATGACTTCGGATTCGGGTAAGGACCCGACTAATGATTCGGACCCCCAGGTTCGGGTCATTACAAGGTCCCCTTCTAATCTTCATCAATCCATTATTCACTTCACACCAACAACCCTTGGAATTCAATGTTCCCATAGAGATCACATTCCTTCTAACATTTGGAATATGTCGTGCATTTGTTAAAGTTCCTACCAAACCATTCGTTGTTTTGATTTTGATTGCTCCAATTCCCATAATATCACAAGAAGCATTATTCATTATAAATACCTTACCACTTACAAGTTTGTAGGTAGCAAACCGCTCTTTATGAGGAAAAACATAAAAGGAACAAGTAAAATCACGTATACATTCATTAGCCTCTCCCTTGTTATCAATGATTGATAATACTTCATCATTATTACTCTATTCTTTCGTATCCTCTGACACAACAGCAGCAATGGATGCACTCTCCTTTTTTTCGGACAATACCACTGAATATGTCCCTTTCTTCCACACTTGTAACATCTTTTCTCTAACAATGGCACAAGATTTCTTGAAGTTCCAAATCTCTTCTTTTCTTGAGCAATAAGAACTTGCCCTGAGCATCACGACTCTTCATTATTCAACTTTTCATTAGAGAACAAAACACTTTTAACTTATTCTACGAAGATGGTACATCTCCCATAAAGCGAAGTATTGAATAAGTACTTATGGGAAGAGCGTACTGATGTTAACAAAATGATTATTTCATCCTCGTCACTTAACTTGACATCAACATTAGATAAATCACAAATAATTTTGTTAAACTCACCAAGATGTTCCTGTAGGCTTACCCTTCTTTTCTCTTAAATGAATACAACTCTTGCTTCAAGACTAACCAGTTGGTGAGATTATTTCTCCCATATATATAGATTCTCCAACTTCTTCCATATGTCCACTGCTGAATCTTCTTCTATCATATCATACACAATATCATCCACCAATGTCAGTCGAATTGCACTCATTGCTTTTGAGTTAATCTTCCTCCAATTTGCATCTTCCATCTTTTTTGGTTTCTTACCCAAAGCCTCTCATAGCCCTCGTTGAATCAGCAAATTCGGCATCCAAAGTTGCCAAAACTAAAGTTCCTTCTTCCATCAAACTTCTCGACCACGCACTTTCCATCTGTAATAGTTGCCGCTATGGCTTTAATACCACTTGTTAGAATTTCACACACACACGCAATTGGCAAATAGAACAGATAAAAACACACACAAGCAAAACGAGATTTACGTGGCTCGGAAAATTTCCTATGTCCACTGGCGAAGAACAACTATCTTTACTTCAAAACTATATTACACACACTCTCTCTCTTCTCACAAACTCAACTCACTTTTTTTCTCAACCCAAACCTATCTCTAGTTATAGAGTCTTCAAACTCAATTCCTTGTTTGATTAAAATTTCACAACTTAACTATAAGGAGCTACCATATCAGTCACAATTCTAAAATAAAAGCATCACAAACCGAAAGAAAACTAATTTTAATTAATTTCAAACCAAAAACCCAACAATGTATTCTGAAATTTTTTGGTCAAATCATGACATGCACCGAAAGATTGAGTTAGTTTCAAATCTCATCCTACTGCACTCGATTTAGATCAAATCAGTAAACCTAAATTAAAATATATATATCGTTTAAATTAAAAAAGTGATTATTCCTATACCACATTTTGACGTAAGAAAGATGAAAATGAGGCAGGGTCTCTCCTCCACAATTGGTTAGAATTAATACTAAACACGAGATAATGTAGAGAAGTTGTTCCAAGAGACGAGATAATTCGGATTATTAAAAACATAAGAAAATGTTATTATTTCATGGTGAGAGAGATAAGCTTTTGCTAATTTGTTTGATCTCTCATCACTTGCAGCACTTGCAATACATGTCAAAGCAAGCCATCTTCACGAGTAGAATTACCTCTCCTCCCACTTAAATTATATATATCTTCCTATCAAGAAATTCATTAAAATCTTTGTTTATTCTACTTCCTTTTATTAGTACCAAGCACGTCACAAATATATGGAGGGGAAAAATACACCTTTACTATTTATTTTTATTTTTATTTTTATTTTATCATTTGAAATTAAGAAGGCTACATTATTTTGGGAATTTTCTTAATAGTTATCCGGTGCCTGTACAGATGAGGAGATTGTGTGCGTCGATGGTGGATTATAGGCGTTCGACCTGACTCTACCATTGTTAAAAAATAATAATAATAATAATAATAATAATAATAATTATTAAAAAATAATAATAATAAAATTGGAAAGGGCTATGATGAAAAAAATATGATTTTTTTCTTTTTTTCACAATTGGTACTCACACCTCACACATTTGTCTTTTCTGAGATTTAAACCTCTAACCTCGGTTTGGGAACTAAGAAATTGATACCGCTAAACCATCAGCTCGTTGATAATAAAAAAAAAAAATGAGAAGAGCCAGAAAGGGTAATTCCAAATTGTGCATTAAAATAAATAAATAAATAAAAATAAAAAAGGGAAGAAAATAAAAAGAAAAAAGATATTGTGGAGAACAAGATATATGGAAGAATAAGGACGTTTGGCTAATATACGGCATAAACGAAAGCGAGAACCAACGCCACTAGCCACCCAATCCAAATGGTTAAATGTATTTGTTTCTTTTTTTCTTTTTTATTAAACTTTAAACCAAAAAAATGAAGTGAAAATTCTACGCCTTTAAAAAGGTGGCCGTTTCTTCTCTTCTAAACTCGGTTTCGAATTACAGACAGACACGCACTCTCTCTCTCTCTCTGTCTCTCTCTCTCTCTCTCTTACTCCATTGTATTGCAACTTTTCCTCTTCATTTTCTTCATGACACTTAATTTCTGTATGGGACTGAGTTAGAAGTCATCATTCTCATCTCTCTCTCTCCACACACACACCCACACACACATACACACACAAGAAGCAGAAGCAGAAGCAGAAGCAGGATAAATGGCAAGAAATGAATGGATAAATGGCTACTTGGAGGCGATTTTGGACGCGGGCGGATTGAAAGTGGGAGATAAACATGATCATAATACAGAGAGAAACAAGAAGAACAGCAAAAATAAGAAAAAGATTGATGAGAATAATAATAAGTTGAGATTCGAAAAGTTCAAATATAAAGAAAGGGAAGAGAAGCTGTTTAGTCCCACCAAGTACTTCGTTGAAGAAGTTGTCAACAGCTTTGATGAGTCCGACCTCCACAGGACATGGGTCAAGGTACGTTGCTCTCTCTCTCTCTCTCTCTCTCTCTCTCTCTCTCACACACACACACACACACACAAAAACATACACACACTTCTAAGGAGTCCATGGAAAGCAAAGCTGCCCGTAAACTCTTTTGCCAAATAATTTTTGGTCTCTTCTCTCCAATTTTCAAGCGTTCTTTTTTTATTATTATTACTTTTTTTTTTCAGTTTTTGGCAAGTAATATACGATTTTTATTGGCAGTGATTGGCTAGTGATTTCAGACGTAAAAGAGATAGATTAGTCAGGTTGAACCAAGAAATAGATATCAGTGATTTCATTTATGTAATTGTAATAAATACCAAGCTAAAATTTCTATTTCTCTAGATATTAAATGATAGAATTCTTGTACTAAGTTAGGGTCTTATTATTTATTATTATTATTATTATTACAAAGGTGTCCTCAACCCCTTAGGCTGAACAATTCTCAAATGTAAAGTCAATTTGGACATTTATTTTTTATGAGTTGATTTTGCACTCCATGCATTAGAATTCCATTATATTGTTTTGAAATATTTTCCAATATGTGTTTAAACAATAAATTTAAGCACAAGATGCTTATAAATTATAAGAAATTAGAATAAGATGATATTAATTTTAGAGACGTATGAGGTGGCAGAGGAGATAATAAAAGGAAGGGCCATTTTGCACTAACCAAAAGTCGAATGTCCAAACGAGAGAGTGGGGCATGGGACCCGTGAGTGAGAGAGACCATGGTGGGTCCCACACCAACCCCTCTCTCTTTCTTTGCGTTTATGTTTGTTTTTTTAATCTCTAGTATATAATTTCATTAATCACAACTCAATAAATAAATAAAAATTGAATAAAATTAATATATTTATTTGTGTTTTTTTGTTTTTTTTTTTTCTCTCTAGTATATAATTTCATTAATCACAACTCAATAAATAAATAAATATTAAATAAAATTAATATATTTATTCATGTATTAAGTTGTGATGGGTTAATACCATGTAAAAAAAATTCGTGTCAGATCTCTTAGGCACTGCATAATCCATCAAAGGCCACCTACAACATCTCTCTTCTAACATGCAGAGAGTAATTAGTAATAAAATTTCTAAGACCAAAGCATTTGTCATTATACTGTCACTGTGTAACTGCAGTGGTGGCAATTCGTGTTTGCGGGTCATAATCGTACCGTATCGAACTAAGAATATTCTACAAAATAGCTCAACCCAAATACAACCTGTTTAATAATAATGTCAAGAACTCACAATACTAAACCAACTTGTTTATTAAATGGATTACACTTGTAACACTTTTAATGACCTGTTTAATAAAATCAAATATTTTATTATTTAAATTATTAATAATACTCAATCAAACATTAAATATTAAAAAAAAATATAAGTTTCAATCTAACCAAATTACTAAATAATCTCTAATCTACAAAATAATAAATTATAACATACAAGTTTACATAGTTATTTTGGAACTGGAATAAAAAAAAAATTATGACACGTAAAGTTAAACAGATATAAACTAGTTACACAGATTGAGCCCCTCAACTCAAACACGACACAATTAATTAAACGGGTTAATTATATTAACTCATTTATGATCCAAATTCGTTTAAGGGTCAACACATACCCATTTAACTCGTGCCGTAAGTCATATTGTCGAGTCGTGTCAAACTTTACACAGTCACTACCCAGCCTTCCATTCACCAAATATTTGTTCAAAAAGACAACTAGATAACATATACATTGTTTGCCTCAAGTGAGTAGTAAATGTTTTTTTCTTTATATAGATATATATATAGTTAATGTGAAGGACGGTGTATTGATGAGTGACAGGTAACAGCAACAAGGAATTCTCGTGAACGGAATAACAGGCTCGAGAATATGTGCTGGCGCATTTGGCATCTTGCCCGTAAAAAGAAGCAGGTCCTCTCTCCCACTCTCTCTTCTACCAAAAGTCAGCATAAACTTTTAGCCATGTCCATGCATCATAAAAGTTGAAGGTCAAATAAATAAATAAATATATATATATATATATATATATATATATATACTTTGTTGGATAGCATGAAATTAGTGCATTAAAACTGAAATTTATAAAATTTAATTCAAAATCATAAAAATATTTTAATGTGATTTTATAATATCTAATATAGTTTGCACAACTTACAAGTTCATCTTAAATTTTTCACCATCATTGTAAAGTCATAAAACTAGTTTATGTATATAGATATACACAATTGTACCAACGGGCTAATGGCCTAGTTATACTAGATTTCTACCTTTCAAAGGGAGATAAAGAGTTCGAACCTCGATAAAGACGTGTGTAAGTACCAACTAGAAAAAAAGATACACACGATTGCCCACATCCACAAATTTTATTCCCTCCAAGCACAAACATTTCTGGATACTTCACTTTTTAAGATGCCAATATTCTCTATATTTCTATAAAACCTTATCAAATGAATCACATTCATAATTAAATATTAAATATAGATAGTGGTATGAAACAAAGTGAGTGCCTAAGTTCAAGTAACAAAAACAAAAATAAAAATAAAAATAAAAAAGAAAGAAGAGGAAGATCAAAGGCATGATACAAACATTACTTGTGTAATTATAAAATTTTGAGTTGAGTGAAAATGCATCACTCAATGACCTAAGTAGTAAGACTCGTTACCTACAATCTGGAAATCGAGTGTTCGAATTACCCGATACATATTAGATCGAGAAGTACATAATGAATTATGAAAATCTCTACGAAACCCAACAGCATCATTGTCGACCAAACAATGATGAATGCAGATAGCTTATATGGGATTTTCTGATGAATGCAGATAGCTTGGGATGATGCACAGAGGCTAGCAAAATGTCATCTTGAACGCGAGAAAGGTCGAAATGATGCTGCCGAAGATCTTTCTGAGTTGTCCGAAGGAGAGAAGGAGAAAGGTGAAGCAAGTCAATCAGAGTCTATCACAACGGAGAAAATCTCCAGAATTAACTCTGATATGCAAATGTGGTCCGATGAAGATAAATCTACACACCTTTACATTATCCTCATCAGGTACCTAAACTGCCTGTCACTCTTGTGCTGACCAATAATAATTCTAAATTAAATTGTAATAAAACAAAAATAGTTTATACATATAAATACTATAATCAAAATCACAATGCCTGATAATATGATTACAGTACGAATTTCATATAATTACGTTTTCTATCTATGTAGTCTTCATGGGTTGGTCCGTGGAGAGAACATGGAACTCGGAAGAGATTCTGATACCGGTGGTCAGGTACTATGCAGTTTTCATTTCGGCCCCTAAGTTTTAAGCCATCAATGACCTTAAATTGAGCGAAGTTTACAAAATAAGAGTAGCGAGTATCATACACCACAAATCTAATGAATCTTTTTTTTTATTAAAATTCTCAGGTGAAATACGTCGTAGAACTTGCTCGAGCACTAGCCAACATGAAAGGAGTCTACCGTGTTGATCTTTTGACTCGACAAATCACATCACCAGAGGTCGACTATAGCTACAGTGAACCTATTGAGATGCTCTCATGCCCACCCGACGGATGTGGTAGTTGTGGTGCCTACATTATCCGAATACCATGTGGACCTCGGGACAAGTAATTAAATACCATAAGATTTCCTTCATTAGCAGAGTATAATGCACTAATTTCCGTTCTTATTGGTATAAGCTACTAACCTAAAACATGGCTTTCATCATTGCCATAGGTACATTCCCAAAGAGTCGCTCTGGCCTCACATACCTGAATTTGTTGATGGGGCTTTAAGCCACATTGTCAACATGGCAAGAGCTTTGGGAGAGGAAGTTGGCGGGGGCAAGCCAGCATGGCCTTACGTAATTCACGGCCACTATGCGGATGCTGGGGAGGTAGCAGCACGCTTGTCTGGGGCCTTGAATGTCCCAATGGTGCTAACGGGCCACTCTTTGGGGCGGAACAAGTTCGAGCAATTACTTAAACAAGGGAGGCTCTCTAGAGAGGACATAAACACAACCTACAAGATTATTAGGAGGATTGAAGCCGAAGAGTTGGGGTTGGATGCAGCTGAAATTGTGGTGACTAGCACAAAGCAAGAAATAGAAGAGCAATGGGGTTTGTATGATGGTTTTGATATCAAGCTGGAGAGGAAGCTTAGGATCAGGAAACGGCGTGGAGTGAGTTGCTATGGGCGCTACATGCCAAGGATGGTGGTATGCAAAATATCTCGTTGCTTGTTTTTTTTTGCAACACCAAAATGACTTCTAATAAACACCACAACGACATGAATATAAATCATCCAAGGTTTAATCAGCTCATTAACAATTATACCCTAAAACATGCAATGACACTATTTATAGCATCATGAAACTACTAAAATAAACCTGAATCACAAAAGCACTAATGGTTTGCACATGGAATTGATAATAGAGATGCAATTAATTTGTATCACCTTTGGGCATAACAACAAAAGAGTAGTTCTACTCTCTAAATTACTTCAGCTTACGTGATAAACATAACGACTTTAACTCGATTGCTGAACATTTTACTCATATAATAACAACAATAATAGTAGTAATAACAACAATAACAACTTAAGTTGTGTAATTGCACATATGAATATCAATTATGAAGCTAAAACGAAAATAGAGATTTTTTACAACAAAATGGGAACGTAATGAAATTCATACCTTATAAACTTTGTCTAAGCTCACTGTTAGGTTATTACATGGCACTAGGTTATACCACCAGGCATGGACTTCAGCTACGTCACCACACAAGATCCACTGGAAGGTGATGGCGATCTTAAGTCATTGATCGGCTCTGCTAAAACTCAAAACAAAAGACAGATACCGCTGATATGGTCTGAGGTTAGGAGCCCTTATCTTCCTATTTGTGAATGACGGCTTTGAATGACACATGATCACACGACAATTTAATGAAATATTTCATTTCTATGTATGGGACATCATAATGTCTTCTAACAATCTTTTTTTCCTTTCACTTACATGCAATGCAGATAATGAGATTTTTCACAAACCCCCACAAGCCCATGATCCTTGCATTATCCCGTCCAGATCCCAAGAAAAATGTAACCACTTTGCTCAAGGCTTTTGGGGAATGCCAACCCCTCAGAGAACTAGCCAATTTGGTAAAACCTAAATTTCACAACAATATTCAGCAGCATTTATACAATCAAACTCCACTCTAAGAAAATCTATTGATGATTAATACTATTAATGCAGACACTAATACTTGGTAACAGAGATGACATAGAAGAGATGTCTAACAGCAGCTCAGTTGTTCTTACAATGGTACTCAAGCTCATCGACAAGTATGACCTGTATGGTCAGGTGGCCTATCCCAAGCATCACAAACAGAGTGACGTTCCCGAGATATATCGTCTGGCAGCAAAAACAAAGGTATGAATTTTGAACTGAATCTACCTATGAGCAAATTGGGTGGTTGAAATTATCATCAGATCTTAACAACACATTTTTTAAGACATCCCCTAGCTAGATTTCCCTGAATGGAGTTCTGAGGATTCACATTTTATTTCTAGATGACCAAGCCACTTGTGGATTCTGAGGAGTAAAGATTCACTAGTCATTGCCCAACCAACACTCCATGGTAGCCCGACCTTCCCTTCACCCCAACCTCTTTATCAGCAATTGAGATTCATTAATCCGACCCTTAACATTAAGATATGTCAGCAATACTGGATTACAATGTATTGGCACTTCACAGTGGTCCAACCACAGAGCCTGATTACCATCTTAATACATGATAATCTAAGAACCACAAAAAGATCATTCGAGGTGGGATAATCTATATGGAATAACATAGAATGCAGTTCATAAGCCTAAATTATCATTACATATCACTTCTAAACCTTCTATTCATTGCAATTTGTACCTTACCATGCTAATAGTAACAATTTATCACGGATTTGTCTCTTGAAGGGAGTTTTCATCAACCCAGCTCTTGTGGAACCTTTTGGCCTCACGCTCATAGAGGTAAGTGGAATCTATCTTAATGACATCCAGATTCTCATCCTTAGAATTCAATATTGCATACTCTTTTGAACCACGTACATGAAATGAATTTCTAATGATTCACGTTCTCTATTTCTTGCAGGCAGCCGCTTATGGTTTGCCTACTGTTGCCACCAAAAATGGTGGACCTGTCGATATCCTCAAGGTAAATTTTATGGCTAATATAATTGTATGCAGTCTCTATGTTTAATCAAAGCACCCAAAAATCCTAATCTAATTCTTGGGCCACAATCAACCTGATTTGAGATTTCAATTTCTCCTTCAAACCCATATCTTGAGGTTAGAACCCATGGTCAGACAAATTTATATGCTGGACTTGCAAAAGTGCCAGTGAGAATTACTCAGATCTAATGGGAGTTCTTTTTCAATTAGGCACTCAACAATGGCCTTCTCGTAGACCCACACGATCATAACGTTATAGCAGAGGCCCTCCTAAAGCTCGTCGCTGACAAGAACCTCTGGCTTGAATGCCGTAAAAATGGGCTAAAGAACATCCACTGCTTCTCATGGCCAGAACACTGCCGCAATTACCTCTCCCACATGGAGCATTGCAGGAACCATCACCCAACCACCCATCATAAAATAATGCCTGCTCTTGAAGAGCCCATGAGCGACTCCCTGCGGGATATTGAAGATCTTTCTTTGAAATTTTCCATTGATGGAGACTTCAAGCCCAATGGAGACCTCGATGCAGCAGCCAGACAGAAGGAAATCATTGAGACCCTAACCCGAGTGGCTACCTCAAATGGAAATTCCAGTATTAATTACTGCCCAGGAAGGAGGCAAGGGCTGTTTATTATAGCCACTGATTGTTATTATAGCAATGGTGTTTGCACTGAGACCTTACCATTAATCATAAAAAATGTGATGAAAGCAGTTGCGAGCCCTGGTCGAATAGGTTTTATATTGTTAACAGGTTTAACATTACAAGAGACGAAGGAAGCATTGAAATGCAGCCAAGTAAAATTGGAAGATTTCGATGCGATGGTCTGTAGTAGTGGAAGTGAAATATACTACCCATGGAAGGATTTGATGGCAGATATGGATTATGAATCCCATGTTGAGTACAGATGGCCCAGAGAGAATGTGAGATCAGTAATAATCAGGCTTGCTAGGGTCGAAGATGGAGCTGAGGATGACATAGTGGAGTATGTGGATGCAAATAGCTCAAGATGCTACTCTTACAGCATTAAACCAGGAGCCAAGGTGAGATTACTATAAATCATTGCATATGATGTCAAGTAATATAGAAACTAAGACAGCAAACAGGGACATGATGAATATTTTCTTAAATACTGCATTGCATGCTGGTATTCTTTCTAATGATGTCTTAAATGTATTGGTAGCAGATTCGAAGGATTGATGGCCTGCGCCAGAGGCTACGAATGAGAGGCTTTAGATGCAATCTAGTGTACACGCATGCCGCATCAAGGTTGAATGTGACACCATTATTTGCATCAAGAGCCCAAGCACTAAGGTTAAACCTTCTTTCCTAAGTGACTGTTTGTGTGCTGGTGGTTTTCTGTATTCCACATTAAAATAAATACAATTTACTTGCACTAGAAATGAAATTATATGGAACTATGACCACATATAATTTTCTTCATGTTATGCAGGTACCTAGCAGTTAGATGGGGTATTGATCTTTCCAAAATGGTAGTGTTTGTGGGGGAAAGAGGAGATACAGATTATGAGGACATGTTGGTTGGTCTCCAAAAAACTGTTATCCTAAGAAGGTCTGTCAAATATGGAAGCGAGATGCTTCTTCATAGCGAAGACAGCTTTAAAAGGGAAGATGTTGCCCCCCAAGATAGCCCTAGAATTGCCTTTGCTCAGGGTTATGAAGCCCATGATATCTCCACAGCTTTGGAGGTTCTTGGAATTATGTAATTTTTGTTTAAACCTTTTTTTTTCCTTTACAATTTCCTGTTGAGGAAGATGGGGGAGTTATGCTTTTATACATAATGCAAAAGCTAGTATATGATTAAATTATATAAGAATACACATGGAATACAGTTTATAAGATTACAACTTTCACATATAAACATTGTTGTTGACGTTGACATATCAGATTTCTAGAAGGCACCCTTCTGGAAAAGTTTAACTTCAACGACATCAAACTCACGCGGCTATGGACATATATAGGTGGGTGAGTTGGTATGAGTGGTTCCAGAATTAGAATAAGAGTGCATTTGGATGGAAAAAGTTGGAAAGAAAGGAAATCTTGTCTTGTGTTTGATTTAAAAATGAGGAGAGGAGGGGCAAAAAAAGGAGAGGTTTGGTAGACCTTCAAATATTAATTTTACTAAGCGCAATGAAGTGCTATCACTATGTAATCCTTTTTCACCTTCTAAGGTTACCCAAACAAGAGGAGAGGCTATACTATCCTCTCATTTGCTTTCTTTTCTCTGGTAACTAATACCTTTTTTTCTTGTTTTTTCCTTTTTACTATTGTCTTCCTTTTACTCCTGCTAATCCAAATGCAATGATCACTCACAAATTTAGCACAAGTAGCAGCAGGTATTGTACTTAAAATCGGCTTATGATTGGAAGGCACATATGTGTAGTATTGCCTACCAGCAACCTATAGAGCATTAGATAAGGCGGTCTAACATCGCCATTCCCAGACGTATTCTCAAATTACTGCATTTTTCTCGTACCAACAACTGAAACAGTTCAATCATATTCATTTTGAATAGTTAGTTTTAACGAATCTGTCTTGTTTTATACAAATTTACCTGTTACATTGACTTTTTGTTGAAGCAATATACTATAATCCACATGATGTTAAGTTCTCAGCATCTCAAACTATATGCAGATAGATGTGTGTCCCATGTTTCATTATACACGAAGATCCACCTTGTATTCCCCTCCACAAGCACAATTAACTACGAGAGAAATTTCCTGTATAAAGCAGAGGAATTCATGAATGAGAATGGAGTTTGCATGGAAAGCATAAACAAGAGTAGACATGTCAGTGTCCTGCAATTATGAACAAAGTAGTGAAACCAACGAAAACTGTCAAACTCGGCATACATTGATTTTCACAACCATGATTTGTATGATGGTAGTTAAATTCCAGATATACTTATCTAAGAAGGATCCTTTTGTGTAATCAGATTTTGCCACATCTAACATCATTTCATCAAAAGATAAAGTGGCAGCTCAAGTGTCTGATCTATGCAAATTTGTAAAGGAAAAATTGATGAATATCGTTACCATCAATTTCTCAATTTGATTCCGTACAGACTGCAAAAACTCAGTTTCACCAGCTTTATCAGATAAAAGAGCTCGGTGTTCCTCTTCCAGGGTCTTTATATCCATTGCCCACAGCTCAGGCTATAATCACCCATCAATAAAAGAAGGATATGTGAACATAAAATGAACGAAAAGCCACAATTTTGGTTCTATAAAATTTAAAAGCTCAAAGATGTCTTCTAAAATCAGACTATTGAATTGTTGCACAAAAGAAAATGAATTTACAACAATTATCGCAAACAACAATGCATGTCTTGAAAATGGAGGAGAGAAAGATACAAAATATTCAATAAACAAGTCAATCAGGTGGGTTTGATTCTGACACTAAATATGGATCACTAAGACACACACACCACACACACGTATATATAAAGAATTTTTATAAGAACGGACTCCGACACCATATCGACACTCATGAACACTCCTAGTCACGTGCCCGACACTTCATGGTTGTGCCCATAATTTCAAAAATAATTTTTGCTATTTCACACTCGACCGACACATCTTGAACACTTGGTTGACACATCTCGGACAATTCATCAACACATTCCGGATACTCAACCAAAACATCCTACACTCTTCGTCTTTATATAAAACAATAACATGACAGTCCTAGAAACAACATTATAAACATACATTAAAGTGTCCAACCTATTTTTCTTTAAAAAATTGACATTCAACACATGTCGGAATATTTAATGAACAAAAACATAATTACAATGACAAGATAGGAGAGTAATATCATATATAATATAATATATTCTTTTATATATTTGAATAGCTTCAACTCCTAACTTATTTAACTTTAGGATAGAAATTATAAATTAATTAAAGTTCTATAATTGTCTTAATCAATAGATATATAAATCAATTTTTTTATTTATATTAGCCGAGTCCACGCAGTGTCCATGTCCTAATTTTTTAGAATTTCACATGTAGGCATATCCTTGTCGAATCATGTTCACATTCGTGTCCATGTTCATGCATCTTAGGATTTTTGTGTTAGTAGAAATGGACAATTAAATGAAAAATAAAATCATTGAATCTGTATTTATATAGCATATAACTCACCTTAAAATCATGTATCCTACTCTTAACTAGCTCAACTGACTGCTTCGCCTGAAATAGCACAAGTTGTGAAATTAAATTGTGAGTTTGTACCATTCATTGCACACAAATAAGCACCATCTGAATAGACTGACAGTTTTTTCCAGAAAAATTTATTGAACAGCAAATTATTCCAGAGAAAGTTACAAATCTAACTTTTCTTACATAGAACAAATAAAACACTTGTGACTTGAAAAATCAAATAGACATTTGATGAAATAATTTAGTATCTGCGGATATCAATGCATGTGTTCTTATAAATTGGTAAATTTTTTAAATTGAAGAACATTGAATTCAATTAAGCAGTAATTTCAAGAGAAATGTAGTCTTATTAAACAAAACTTAATCACTTCTTTAATAAATAAATAAAATTAAAATTAAAAAAAGAAAGGAAAGGAAATTACTGATGTTAGTATATTACTACCAGGAATTGCAGCCTTTACTTAAGACAAAGACTATATATTAAAAAATAAATAAAGAGTATAACAGAATACCTCTCAATAATATTGATGCACATACAAAAGGAAAGAGTATATATATATATATATACATTAATGGGGCACAGATTAAAGCAGAGAGCAAGCACTTTGTACAAAATAATGCTAAAAATTGGGTTTGTCTCTAGTCTTACAGTAAAAATATAAAAACAAGAAAAACAAGAGAATTGTATAAAGGCTTGAATGAGATAAATCACTCATTCACAACTCTAGTATTTATAGATAAAACGATCACGTGCTCATATTACAAGAAAAGAAACTAAATCAAATCTAAATCAAATCATAACATATTCTGAAGCATATTCTATAGCATAATCAAATCTCTACTAATATGGTAAGTCATTCCAGAAATCATGGCTATCATATATGCTAACATATGCCTAATCAAATCTCTACTAATATGGTAAGTCATTCCATAAATTGTGGCTATCATATATGCTAACACTCCCCCTCAAGTTGGTGTGTGGATATCTGAAACGCCCAACTTGGACAATGCATACTCAAACACAATCTTGCTGACGCCCTTTGTAAGAATGTCTGCAAGCTGCTGAGAGCTTGTGACAAATGGAGTGCAAATCTGACTAGCAATGATTTTCCCTCAGATGAAGTGCCAATCAACAAATCAAAAATGTCTCCTCAGACCATAAACAATTAATAATGTCTCCTCAGACCATAAACAACCAATCATGTATCCTCAGACTGTAAACAACCAACAATGTCTTCTCAGACTGTAAACAACCAATCATATCTCCTCAGACCGTAAACAACCAATAATGTCTCCTTAGACCATTTCCCTTTATACATATGTTTAAATAGTGTAGATGAAATAATCAACAATGTCTCCTCAGATCATAAAAAGAAATAACTGTGTCTCCTCAGACCATTTCTAAATAGGTGGTGCCAAACTCACAACGCCCTCATTGAGGTTAGAACACCCTGCCTACTCGACACCTCCCGGATAGGCGATGTCACCTTAGACCATTCCCGAATGGGTGGTGCCGAACTCGTAATGCCCTCATTACAGTCGGACCACCCTAACTCTGAAACCAATTAGAAATATAAAAAGAAGAAATACAAGAGAATTGTGTAAAGGCTTGAATGAGATAAATCACTCATTCACAGCTCTACATGCTTATATTACAAGGAAACTAAATCGAAACTAAATCAAATCTAAATCAAATCACAACATATTCTAAAGCATATTCTATGGCATATTCTATAACATAATCAAATCTCTGCTAATATGGTAAGTCATTTCATAAATCATGGCTATCATATATGCTAACATATGCAGAATCAAATCTCTACTAATATGGTAAGTCATTCCATAAATCATGGCTATCATATATGCTAACACTTACACTCCGAGCACCTCAAGTAAAAGAGACTAGAACTTTTCATATATATTGTTGGATAAGTAGAACATTTTTCAGCATAATTTAAAATAATTTCTATATACATTCATAATATGTATTTATGCATGATTGAACATTTAATTGAAGAGATATTTGTTCTGCATGCTACTAGTAGTGTAGTAATTGAGAATTAAGATATAGAACAATTAATAATTGCTTCAAACCCAGTGCTAATTTTAAATTTAATTTTGTTGGTACACAAGATTCAAATAACTAAATTTGATACAATGACCTTGCTATTATCCGAAACAAGTTTGGATTTCATTTGTGTCACCCAATCAAGCTCAGCTTTAGAAGAGTCCAACTTAATCTTTAAGTTCTTCGCTTCATCCTGAAACTCCAAGAATGAATAATACACTGCAATGTCATAGCTAGATATGATCATACAAGACAACATACCAGATTGTCAGCAATGAGATTGATCTCTACCATACAGCTCCCTGCAAATGAAGTTTATAGAATGAGGGACATGTACATCTTTTATGTTTACCAAAAAACAGATCAGTACTTTATATTCCAACTGTAAAATACTGTTGTCAAGGGCTTATTTGTTATTAATTATATAATGTTGGGGCTTATTTGTAATTTCTAAAACTTGTTATTATAAATAGAATGTGGTGGAAGGATGAAAGTATACTTTCATTGTTTCTCTCTCTCTTTTTCTCTCATCCGCTTTCTTCTCTTTTTCTTCTTCTTCTTCACTTCCGATTTGATTATATCTTAAAGTCAACATGGTATCAGAGCATGGTTTGTAAAGCTCTAGGTTTGTAGTTGAAACCCTATGGCAAGTTTGTGTAAACCCTAGTGGGTGTGAAGGGTTTTGAAGAGATTCCAAAATGGGATCTGTTTGCAAGGAAGTAGTGTTAATCACATCCACACATACCGTGGATCCAACTCCGTGGTGAGTTGGTTGGGAGTTGTAGGAGCAACACGCCCCTACTCAGGGTTCAGGGCGAGGCCCAGATTTTTTTATTTTTTTTTAGCTATTGCAGTCTCGATCGGTGTTTTTTTTTTTTGTGTTCGCGAGGTTCTGCAACAACGGCTTTTTCTTCATTGTTCGCGATTCTAATATGGTCTACTTTGATGCTTTCTAGGGTTTGTGTGGTAACTGTGTGGTCGTTTTTTTATGCATCTCACAGTAATCTTTTTAGTTGAAGTTTGTGTGTTAGAGAGGTGGTTCTCTACATATTTTGTTGCTGTTTTTGCTTCTGAGAATTGTATACCCAGAAATTGTTTGATAAAATGTCTGACTCAGAGGTGACTTCAAAAGAAGCTGGGTCTTCTCCTAGTCTGACTCCAGTATTGGGAGGTAGTAGTGATCACCATCCAGGCCTTTGTATTATGACTGTAAGGCTGGATGAGACGAACTATATGGAATGGGCTCAATCTGCTCGTATGCATATCACTGGTTGTAGGATGATCGAACATATCGAAGGGACTATCACGTATCCCTCCAAGAGCGATCCTAAATTCAAAGAGTGGAGTGCAAATAATGCACTAGTTATGACGTGGTTGTTGCAGTCCATACAGCCACAGATCAACAAAGGGTTTTTGTTTATGAAAACAGCTAAAGAGCTATGGACGGCTGTGGAAGAAACGTATTTCTCAGTTGGTAATTTTGCAAAACTGTATGAACTCCAACAACAAATTTCAAGATTCAAGCAGGAAGACCAAACTCTTACTACACATTACCACACTCTACGTGGTAAATGAGAAGAGTTAGATCACTAACAAAACTACATACCTGTGTGTGTAGCTGATGTTAAAGCATTTCATGCTATGGTAGAACCGTAGAAAGGAATCGAATCTATGAGTTCTTAGGTGGTCTGCATCCGAGATACGAGCATGCCAGGGTACAAGTGTTAGGCAGGTATCCAACCCCTGCTTCTGTTGGAGATGTGTTTTCGTATATTCAGGTTGAGGAGTGTAGAATGAAGGCTATGTCTGCACCTGTATACACTAAGCCTGAGCCAGAAGTACCATTGTCTGAGAGGTCTGCTCTTGCCACACAACAATAGAACAAGCCCAATCCTCCAAAAGGAGGAAAACAGGATGACAAAAGCAAGTTGAGGTGTGATCATTGTGGGCATACGCGCCACACTAGAGAAACATGCTGGAATCTACATGGTCGCCCTACTCCAGCTGCTGCTAATACGAATGCTAGGCTCCATTTAGGGGGTTATCTACGGCACATACTGCAGAGTGTGAGACTGCTTCTACTGGTCATGCCTCCTTAGGGCCACCGAGTTCTTTGTCCGAGGTTGAACTTGATGCTCTCCGACATCTACTAACACAACATTCCTCCGCTCTCATTCGGCACATCAGGTTTCCACATTATCCGGTGGGCCACCCTGGATCATTGATTCAGGAGCCACTGATCACATGACTGGTATGGCATCTGATTTTTCTTCATACAATTTATGTTCTGATAAGGATAAGGTTAGAGTGGCTGATGGCACCTTCACTTCCATTGCGGGGAAGGGCACTGTTTTTGCCTCTCCAAATCTTACCTTATCCTCTGTTCTTCATGTCCCAAAGTTTACCAATAACCTCCTTTCTGTCAGTCACATTAAAAAAGGCTTGAATTGTAGTGTAACCTTTTTTCCATCTCACTGTGTGTTTCAAGACTTGGACACGGGGAAGATAATTGGAAATGGACGTGAGGACAATGGCTTGTATTTGCTGAATGCGAGGCCAACTTCTTATTATGCAGCAAATCAATCTAGTGTTAGGAATAGTACTGTAAATAAATATCTGTTAATGTGATGGCATAATAAACCAGGTCATTTACCCCTTCCTGTTTTGAAGCATGTGCTTCCCCAGTTTGCTTCTGTTGAATCTTTTGAGTTAAATTGTGAAACATGCGTTCTTGCCAAACAATGTCGTGTTTCTTATCCTACTAGTATTAATAAAAATACAGCTCCTTTGCAGCTTTTTCATTCTAATGTGTGGGGTCCTAAATCTACTACTTCATTACTTGGTTTTCGTTACTTTTTTGTGTTTGTTGATGACTTTAGTCGATATACTTGGCTTTATCTTATGAAAACCAAAGATGAAGTTCATTCCATTTTTAAAACCTTTCATAGGATGGTATGTACTCAATTTGGCTGTCCCCTCAAAATATTTCGATCTGATAATGGAGGAGAGTTTATGTATGGTGGTCTTGCCACCTATTTTGCTAATAACGGGATTGTCCATCAAACCTCTTGTGACAATACACCACAACAGAACGGCGTAGCTAAAAGAAAACACTGTCATATTACGGAGGTGACCCGTTCTCTTCTAATTGGGATGGGAGTGCCTAAAAGTTATTGGGCTGATGCAACCTTAACAGCTACATACCTTATTAATCACATGTCTTCTAAGGTTCTTGGCGATCAATCCCCCTTCTCTATCTTACACCATGACACTGCCTAGTTTATTGTCCCTCCGAAAGTGTTTGGTTGTGTTTGTTATGTTTACATTCATCATCGCAAGGACGAAATGAACCCTAAGGCAATCCGATGTGTCTTTCTTGGATACTCCACCACTCAGAAAGGGTATCGATGTTATAACCATACCACTCGTCGTCACTTTGTCTCCATGGATGTTACATTCTTTGAGTCTATTCCTTTTTTTTCCACTGCTCGGGATTCTCTACAAGGGAAGACTACTATACAGGTAGAGAATCCGTTATCCATTCAGAGGGAATGCACCCTTCCTTTGTCTGTTCCCATTCAGGGGGAGCTTCTTACTGAGGTACCCATGTCTAGTCTTCCTAACACTAATGACTTGCAACAGGAAAGCGGCCAATTGTCTACACTAGAAGGGCAAAACAAGTTATTAACTCACCCCAGGACCAAGAAGTCTCCCTCGATCCAGGTAATTCCTTAGTTGACATTGATACTCCTGATTCTTTTCCTAATAGCATTCCTGTTGATCTTGATGTCCCTACTGCCTATCGCAAGGGTGTTCGTAGTTGTACAAAGCATCCCATATCTCAGTTTGTATCCTATGATGCCTTATCTCCAACATATAGTGCTTTCACTTCGTGTATCTCCTCTGTATTTGTTCCTTCTAGTGTTTCAGATGCTCTCAGTCAAACTCCATGGAAGAAAGCTATACTTGAAGAAATGAAGGCCCTTGAGAAGAATGGTACTTGGGATATTGTTCCATTACCTAGGGGTAAGAAACCAGTAGGCTGCAAATGGAACAATTAAAGTATCATGCAGACGGAACAATTAAGAGATATAAAGCTCGGTTAGTTGCAAAGGGCTTCACTCAGACCTATGGAATTGATTATCTAGAAACATTTGCTCCAGTTGCCAAGATGAACTCTATACGTGTTCTTCTTTCATTGGCAGCTAATTTGAATTGGCCCTTACATCAGCTAGATATAAAGAATGCTTTCCTTCATGGTGACTTGGAGGAAGAAGTGTATATGATTATACCACCAGGGTTTAAGCTTGCTAATGGTCATAATTTAGTGTTCAAGCTAAATAAAGCTATGTATGGGTTAAAGCAGTCGCCACATGCTTGGTTTGAGAGGTTCAGCACTGCTGTGAAAGGAGTAGGGTACACACAGAGTCAGGCAAATCATACTCTCTTCATCAAGAAGCACCAGGGCTACACCACTGCCCTTATTGTATATGTTGATGATATTGTTATCACTGGAAATGATCCGGAAGAGATTCGTCTAATGAAGTCATTCTTGGGGACAGAGTTCGAGGTTAAAGAAGTCGGATCATTGAAATACTTTATTGGCATCGAGGTGTGCAGATCGAAGAAAGTGTTCATTTCTCAACGGAAGTATGTATTAGATTTGTTGGCTGAAACAGGCAGGCTTGGAGCTAGACCTATTAATATTCCCATTGAGTATAACCATAGGCTTAATGATGTAGATGGAGACCCATTAGATGATGTGGGAAGATTTCAGCAATTGGTTGGGAGGCTGATTTACTTATCTCTCACGTGTCCGGATATTGCCTACGTTGTTAGTGTGATTAGTCAGTTTATGCATGCTCCACGTACACCTCACCTTGAGGCAGCTCATCATGTTCTTCGCTACCTCAAGGGTTCACCTGGTAAGGGGATATTGTTTGGCAGTCATGGCCACTTGTGTGTTGAAGCCTATACTGATGCTAATTTGGCAGGGTCTGTAACAGATCGACGATCTACTTTAGGATATTGCACATTTGTTGGAGGTAATCTTGTTTCACGGCGAAACAAGAAACAGTGTGTAGTAGCTGGATCTAGTGCAGAGGCTGAGTTCAGATCCATGACACATGGTGTTTGTGAGTTGTTATGGCTACGTACGATGTTAGGTGAGTTGGGTTATCCTGTTCGCGAGTCAATGAAGTTGTATTGTGAAAACAAGGCTGCTATTAGCATTGCCCACAATCCAGTTCAACATGACAGGACAAAGCATATTGAAGTCGATCGACACTTCATCAAGGAAAAG